ACAAAAAAAGTACTAGAATGAATAAACAAATTTAGTAAGGTCATAGGATACAAATTCATTATTCAAAATCAACTATATTTTTCTATATATTAGCAATAAAGTTATAAATATAATTTTTAAAATGTAATTTGTAATAGCATCAAAAAATATGAACTATATGTGGATGAACTTGACAAAATATGTGCAAAACCTATACACTGAAAACATTTTAAGTCATTATCAAGATAAACTTAAGAGGACGTAAATAAACAGGAGAGAGATGCCATCTCCACAGGTTGTATATCCACAGATTCAAACCATGGGTCAAAAATATTTGGGGAAAAAATAAAAAATAATATAAGAATTTAAAATAACACAAATTTAAAAATACAGTATTAACAACCCATTACATAGCACTTACATGGTATCAGGTATTGTAAGTAATCAAAGTTGACGTAAATTGTACAGGAGGCAATGCTTAAGCTTTATGCAAATATTATGCCATTTCATATAAGGGACTTGAGCATCCACAGATTGTAGTATTCTCAGGGTTTCTGAAATCAACTCCCATGGATACTGACAGACAACTATATTACCGAATGACATTTACTAAGATTTGATTAAATATTTTTATGTATGTTGCTGAATTAGATATACTATGATTTGATCAAATATTTTCTTGTCTATTTTATGTCTCTTGGTCCATAGTTTCCTTTCCTTGTAATACCTTTTCTTGGTTTTGGTAGAAGGACTTTAGTGATGCTACCAAGAACATACATTAACAATTCTAAATGTAAACACCTAACAAGAGTACCTTAAAATACATGGAGCAAAAGCTGACTGAACTAAAAAAGTAAGAGACAAATCCAAAATGAGAGTCTGGACTTCAACAGCCCTCTCTCAGTAACTGACAGAATCAGACAGACAACCAATTAGGACAGAGAAAACCCGAACAATCCTATTAACCAATGATATCTAACTGACATCAATAGAACATTCCACACAATGACAGCAGAATACACATATATATATTCTTTCCAAGAACAAGTGGAAAATTCACCAAGACAGATCATATACTGGGTCATAAAACAAACCTAAAACAATGTAAAAGAACTGAAATCATATGAAGTACATTCCCTGATAATAATGGAATTAAAACTAGAAATCAGTAACAGCAGGGTAAAAACAAATCTCCAAACACTCAAAAATTAAACAATTTACTCAAGGGAAATTTTTAAACATACTAAATTGAATGAAAATTAAAATAAATCAAAATCGATGCGATGCAACTAAAGCAGCACTTAGCACGAAATCTGTAGTACTAAATATATGTATTAGAAAAAATCAATAATCTAGGTTTCTATTTCAAGAAACTAGAAAAGAGTAAAACCAACCCAAATCGTCCAAAAGGAAGAAAACAGTAAGGAGCAGAAATTAAAGAAATGAAAACATAATATATTTAAAAGATCTTTGAAACTAAAAGCTGCATCTGTGAAAAGATCAATAAAATTAATAAATGTCTAGTAGGATTGACAAAGAAAATGAGAGAAAATATAAAACAATATTAGGAATGAGAGGGAATTATTTATATAGCTACCACAGACATCCAAATGACAAGGCAATTCTCCAAACTCCTCTGCCCACATAAAATCAATAACTTAGACGAAATAGACCAATTCCTTAAAAACCACAAACTATCAAAACCTACCCAAGATGAAACAAATAAATTGAATAGTCCTTACTATTAGAAAGATTGAATTTGTAATTTAAAAACTTTCAAGGAAAAAAAATTTCCATGCAGATAGTTTCACCAGTGAAATATACCAAATATTTAAGGAAAAATAAAACTTATCGTAAATAATCTCTTCCAGAAGAACAAAGAGCAGAGAACACTTCCCAACTCATTTTATGCGACCAGCATTATCCTTATACCAAAATAAGACAAAGACAGTAAAAGAAAAGTACAGAACAGTATCCCTCAAAATATGAAAGCAAAATTCATTAACAAAATGTTAGAAAATTAAATCACAGTTAAGTTGGAAACAACAAAAAGAATTTATTTACATACATACACATATATACACACAGAAACATCCATCCATACACATACACATGCAGAAAATGAAAAGCACCCTTCAAAACACATTGTGAAGTCAAATACTCTTTGCCAAATCAAAATAATTTCTTTTGAATGCCAAAAGATCTATCCCCAACAAAACTCTTTTATTTAGATATTCTATAGAATATCTAATATATTTAGATATATAAAATATCTAAATATATATAGATAGATAAATTCTACAGAATATCTAATATATTAGATATCTAATATAGTCTATAGAATATAGATATTCCATAGAATATCTAATATATTAGATATATAAATATATATAGATAGATAAATTCTATAGAATATCTAATATATTAGATATATAAATATCTAATATATTCTATAGAACATAGATATTCTAGAGAATATCTAAATAAAAAGAATTCATTCTATTAATCATATTAGAATAATCAACATCAGTGCTAACTCATGTCCAGTAGCATTTCCTCCTTCCCACTCACAAGATTCAGGGGCAGGCCCTAACCAGGCAAAACAAAATGAACATACGCCATCCTTCCAGGTAAAGCATTTGGTTCAACCCTGGGTACAAAACCAATCAGAGACAAGAAACAATGAGCCTTTCAATGATATTTCTAAAAAGCTCAAGTGCTCTTGTCTTGACAGTGTTCTCTTTTCTATAGATGTAGTAGTATGAAAATAAGAAGCTTCAAACTGCTGCAGCCACCCTGCTAAGAAGCTAGCTTGACAGTACCAACACAGAGGAGAGGAAAACAGAGGAAAGAGATAAAGAAAAAAAGATGAGCTGCAATCAGATTTACACCAGGACTTTGGTGAGCTGATGAAACTTCCTTTTTAGTTTAAGACATTTGCAATGGATTTTCTGTTATCTGCGCATAAAGAGTCTTCTGATGCCAAGGACTAACTAGATAGAAGTCAGAAGAGCACTGAGTTCAGTTACCAAATGAAAGAACTGTTTAATAATCAAGGCTAAGAAAAAAGGAAAAAGTTTTAAGTTAATGTTTTCCTGATAATCTAGAATTTTGCGAATAAAGGTTCATTAACCACCTGTGTGTTCCTACAGTAACAGAGAGGTTGAACTTTTAAAGTACCCTCTAAGATTCTAATTTTGGAAAACATCTAATTTGGGATGTTAAGCAAGACACTGAGAGCTATTACTCTTCTCTTTGACTTTTTCTATTTTAAAAAAGATAAGCAGAGTTTTAAAAAAAATTCAAATTGTACTCACTAGGAAGAATATGAGATGCACAGAAGAAACACAGTAAGTAGAAAACAAAATCTTAAACTTTAAAAATTCATCCTTTAATAAACTGCCTATCTACAATTTACAAGCATAAGACAAAACACATTAATAGAATAAAGGATCTATTTCTACTTAGCTTACTTAGCTAGAAAAAAAAACTTTGCCACTCAAAAAATTCAGTAAAAATATAAGCACCTAATTTTGACCACTGAAAATTCTGCACATTGAATTTTTGCTTTTTCTACCACTTCACCATAACTTTCTTCTCATAATAAATGTTTCTTATGTGATGAAATTAAATTATTTCTCTCTTTAAAGTTTACTAAAGCTGCATCAGGACCAGCATCTATTTGATAAAGGTTAACACATTATGTTCTGAGAAATATGGTTTGAAACAAGTAAAAAATATCTAGTTATTTTTAATACATATTTATACTGGAATCCTTTAAAAGGGCTCACAGTTTATCACTGAGTTTAATATAAAGGGATAATTACTTGAAGAGAGGATCTAATTTTAATTTATTATTAAATATAATATCTTTTAGTGCACTAATGCATTGCTTAATGCACTAAATATAAAGTCTTTTTGTGACATTCACAAAGCAATGGAAACTTTCAGGAAATATGCTTTATGTCATTATGTGATAGCTGATAAATTCAATGTCTTATTATGAGATGTAGTCATTGATTATCTAAAGGAAATTTTTTCCCTGTACTCCCCTACCACATCTCTCAAACCTAGGATAAATTATTTGTAAGACATTTTCTTCTTCTGACACAAAATAATAAGCAACAACAAATTATAAGGGAAACCATAGCATTAGAAAAGTTCTTCCACAGTCTCACCAAGATAATTGCTGCTACTTTTATTACTGTGATGGTGTACTTGAAGTAATAAAATTGTGTTACATATAATTAGTATATGTATCTTCGTAACCCATTAAAATTTTTTGTCTTTACCTATTGTTACTTAAAAGAGAACCATCACATCAAGGAGCATTTAAAATGAGGGAAAAGAGTAAAGACTACAAAGAGTAGCTAGACAATTCTCAACACTTATCTTTGGGTTTAGTAAAAGTTGTTAGTTAAATTAGTTAAGTAAGTTAACTTACTGCTCGAGTCAGTCAAACTAGTAATTTTAACAAATGGACTAAATTCAAAAGAGGCAGAAGGAAAAAATTCAAGACGAACACAGCTCTTCCCCAAACTTCCATTCACACGCATTGTTTATTTTTCCTTAGGAACTGTGAATGTACAACATAACCCGCTCAATTTGCCACCAAATCACTATGGGCATGCTACTTTTTTTTTTTTTTTTTAATGTACACAGCACTACTGGAATTTCCTATCCTTCCCCTCTTCCTCCCCTCTTCCAATACATTGATAATGTATTGAAGAAAAAAAATCATAAATAGGTACCTACCTTTCCTGACATTAAAGAAAAAATGTAGGAAAAAATTTCAAAATACTCAGATAAATGACTAAAGCATCCATATGTAAACAAAATTTACCAAATCCGTGTATTCCAAAACAACTAGAACCAAATCTTAACTGAAACTTGCAAAAATATACACATTTCTTCAAATTATAGTTCTACAGAAATACTCAGATTTTAGAAATTACTTTAAAAAGCTAGATCTTGTTTTAAAAGATGGAGGCAGAAATAGTAATCAGAAAAAGTAAACTTACCAAATATGTTAGTGGAGTGTCCTTTCTTTGCAATAGGTCTGAGTTCATTATGTCCCCACCCATATGTCTTATAATTATCCCAGGCATGTTTCATCATCTGAGAAAAGAAAAAGTATAATCCATCAATTTAAACTATTCACAAACTGTTATTTTTATATTTCATGTAATTTTCGATTCTATATCTTTACCCATTCTCCTAGACCTCTTACATTAGTATTATTAATCAATTAACCTTTGTATCAGTGTGAAAACACACATAATGATGTTTAATCTCAACCTACACAACAGAAAAAAAAAATGGGTGTAAAAGACAAGTTCTTTTTCTTGGTGAGGAAGATGTCTGTTTGGTATTCTTCCCTGTCAGTCCCTTGGGAACAGCTCCCTTTACCTCACTGTGATTGTGACAGAGTTGTCAGTCAAAGAGCCATGCTTCTGCCACCAATTAACTCAGCCTGGCCATACCCTTAGACCAGAGATCAGCAAACTTTAATTCTGCCATTGCAGCACAAAAGCAGTCCTAGTAATACCCCCGTTCAGAGAGGACTTGACTACATATAAGGAAAATCCCAAGTAATCTAACAAAAAAGCTACTAGAATTAATAATGACTTCAGTAAAGTAAGAAGATACAAGTTTGATAAAGTAACATCAAATGTATTTCTATATACTGAGTTTTGTGAATACTTCTAGCAAATTACTAAGCCTGAGGATTGTCTTGGGATCCTGTGAACACACATGGTTATCCATCTGAATTGTTATGTATATGAGAAAGTATTTCAATAAATTATGACATCTGAATAAAGTAAGTCGGGCATCTGAAAGAAAGTATCTATCAATGTCTCCCCAACACTGTCCAAAGAGAGTGCCTTAAGTAGTCCTTATATAAAACATAGACTCTACAATTGAAATAAAATCAGATTGTAGCTCTATTGACTCTATCAAGGTCAAGGTTTTATAATAATGTATAGGGCCAAGCTTAAAATATCTGTTAAACCTTCTATCTACATTACTAGTATATAAACAGATATTTGACTATTTGAACTAAATCTTATTTTATGATAAACAAGCCTTTTGAAATATTATTGATGCTACTACACTCTGACAAAATCTTTGTCTTTGAAGGCAGTTATAATTGCAAACTCCACCCAGAATTATCATGAGTTCTAGTTAACAAGGCTTAACTCAAATATTCGCTAGATTTTTCCCCCCCTCTGGTATTTTTATCTCTAAATAATTAGAGAATAACAAATTGAAATGCTTCTCAGGCTACATAAACTGAAAATTTTGAGATCAATTCTTCCCTGTTCTTCAATCCACGAAGACTCTTTGGAAGAAATGTGCTCTTAATCTACAGTGTGGTTGAGAGGTAGGTATAAGGACATGTTCCCAAAAAGATTGCAGATATAATTCTAACTCTTTAGAAGCATGTTTATGAGATTTTCATAGTATCTAGCAGAGTCCCTTATAACTGAACACTTAAAAAATTGCTTATTCAATGAGAAATTATACATGGATCTATTATTTACAAAATTCTATATTTCAAAAGATCTCTGAACACAAGGTGAGTGATATAACCATCCAAACAATATTATATCAAATGTTTTAAATATCTAATTATATTATAATTAATATTGAGAAAGAGACTTAATTCCAGTCCTTACTGCCAACTTGGAAAGTGAACTACAACTATGACCCAAGAACAAACAAGATCACAAGATCAAAGTATAAGAACATAGACAATGAGAGTGAGAGAGTGTGTGTGTGTGTGTGTGTATGTATCTCCAAATACATATCCAAAACCACTCCATAACATAAATCTCAGCTTATTACCTCTTTAATTTTTTCCCTTTTCTCTCTTATGTCATTATCTTCTGGGTCTCCACCATTTATTCCTACAAGGTTTGGAATAGGGACTGGTGGCAGTGTCTTCTTCTCTTTGGTCTTCATTTCTTGGACTACCTTATTTTTCTCTGTCTGAATTTCTGCTCGAATTTCCTCTCTTGACTTTCTTAATTTTTCTTTTGCTTCTTCCAGGGCCTTCTCATGGTCAGCTCGAATTTTATTTCTCAGACGTTCTTCTTCTTCCCTATGAGAAGACGAGAACAAAAAGGCTGGTTAAGAGCAGGCCTTCTTAAGAACTTCAATCTTTAAATATAAAACTTAAAAGGTTCCTCTATCAAGCCCTGACAGTTGTTTTCTTCTTTTGCCATTAAAAGGCAAGAATTATCAGTGAGAGACACTCAGGTCTGTCCAAAGAATAGAATAAATATAACTTGGTATGAGAAAGAAAATGAACCTAGGATGCTGAAGGGCAAACACTTTACACAGCAGAGAAAGAGGAAACAAAGTTATAATTTCAGGGTAAATAAGAACAGAGAAAACAGCAATGAGTAAATTATTACAGACATATGCAAAAATAGAGACCAGTAAAAACTAAATGGAGGAGGGAAAATAAAAAATAGAATTAAGCATCAGAAAGGGGGGGATTATAAACACAGGGCCAATGAAAAAGCTAAGAGGGAAAGATAAGAGGATGTGAACTTTTTCATTTATGTAGTACAGTATTTGCTTTTAAAACTTTAAAATTTGAAAATAGCATAGCTTACTGTCAACCATTATTTCCTAAATCAGTCAATGATGACTACTCTAAGGGTAAACAACTAACTCAACAGTGACCAGAGTCACCTTTCCAGAAATTTAATTCAAAATCTGCAGATGGCTAGACTTATAACATTGCTGAGGAGAATGTAAACTAATGTAAACTTTTCCACTCTGGACAAGTGGGTGTTTTCTTAAAAAACTAAACATGCAAATATCATAAAACCCAGCAATTGCACTCTTGGGTATTTATCTCAGAGAAATGAAGACTTATGTTCACACAAAACTTATATATAAGCCAGTCACGAAAAGATAAATACCATATGATTCCACTTACACAAGGTACTCAGAGAAGGCAAAACCCTAGAGACAGAAAGTAAAATGGTGGTAGCCAGGGGCTTGGGGTAGGGATAATGAGAAGTACTGTTTAATGTACAGAGCTTCAAGTTTGCAAGATGAAAAGAGTTCTAGAGATGGATGGTAGTGGTAGCTGCACAATAGGAATGTATTTAATACCACTGAACTGTATACTTTAAAATGATTAAGATGACAAATTTTATATTAATTCTATTTTTCCACAACAAAAAAAAATGGGGAGGAAGCCTATGCGCAAATGTTATAGCAGTTTTATTTAAAGTAGGTAAAAAGTAGAAACAATCCAGATGTCCTTCAATAAGTAAATAATCTGTGGCATATCCACACTATGAAATAGTACTCAGCAATAATAAGTGAATGATTGATACACACAACTGAAATGAATCTCAAAGGCGTTATTATGTGAGTGAAAGAAGCCAGTCTCAAAAGGTTGCAACCTATATGATTCCATTTACATGACATTCTCAAAAAAGTCAAAAATATAGGGATGGTGATTAGATCAGTGGTAGCCAGGAGTTATGGATAGAGGAAGAGTTAAGCATAAAGGAATAACACAAGGGAACTGTTTGAACGATAGAATTATGATGTATAGGTATTATCTGGATGATAGAATTGTTACGTGAAGAATTACAGGGGTAGTTACATGTGTAACCCATAAACCTGTGTTAAATCATAAACCTGTACACTAAAAGAGAAAAATATCAATTTAAAATGCATAGCCGGGCGCAGTGGCCCACGCCTGTAATCCTAGCACTCTGGGAGGCCGAGGCGGGCAGATTGCTTGAGATCAGGAGTTCGAAACCAGCCTGAGCAAGAGCGAGACACCGTCTCTACTACAAATAGAAACAAATTAATTGGCCAACTAATATATATAGAATAAATTAGCCAGGCATGGTGGTGCATGCCTGTAGTCCCAGCTACTCGGGAGGCTGAGGCAGCAGGATTGCTTGAGCCCTGGAGTTTGAGGTTGCTGTGAGCTAGGCTGACGCCAGGGCACTCACTCTAGCCTGGGCAACAAAGCGAGACTCTGTCTCAAAAAAATAAAATAAAATAAAATAAAATAAAATAAAATAAAATATTAAAATAAAATGATAAATGTCCAGAAAAAAAGAAAATTGGATTGCTAACAGTGAAGGGTGCTAATAAAGAAAACAGGAGAGAGAAAAGGGGGAGAAGGGGGGACAGCAAGGTTAGAGAGTCAGGTACACACACACAAGTTCATCCAGTAGGGAGGAAGAATGCATGGGACAAACCTACAAAGATTCACAGCGCACCAAGTCCTCTTAAAATGGGGCCTACCTCTCTTAAGATAGAATTGGCAGAGAGCTGTACCCTCTCTCTACTCTCCTGCCAGTACTGGCCTTTGTCCATGCAGCTAGAATAGTACTCATATCCAGTGCACCTTTAATTTCTAAGGTAAACCTACAGACCCTAACTCCTGAACTCTTCGTGTGACACCCAAACTCAGAGCCTAGGAAGTCACCCCAAACAGCAGCCTTCAGCACACATACCTATACTGAGTATAAGACTTAGTCTTGAGTTCTGATAGTGGTCTGTGGCCTGTTAGGAAACGGGAAGCATGGCAGGTGGGCAAGCAAGCCAGGGAAGCTTCATTTGTATTTATAGTTGCTCCCCATCACTCGTATTACCGCATAAGCTCCGCCTCCAGTCAGATCTGCAGAGACATTAGATTCTCCAGGGGAATGAACCCTACTGTAAACTGCACATGTAAGGGATCTAGGTTGCACACTCCTTATGAAAATCTAATGTCTCATAATCTGAGGTGGTGATGCCTAGCACCGGGGAGCGGCTACAAATACAGATTATCATTAGCAAAAACGTTTGCCTGCAAAATAAATGTAATGCACCCAATCATCCCGAAACCACAGCTGCCCCCAGTCCTTGGAAAAACTGTCTTCCATGAAACCAGTCCCTGGTGCCAAAAAGGTTGGGGACGACTGTCTTAGTCTTTGGAAAAGTGGACATGAGGAGAGACTATCTGTTCAGGGCCCTCTTGGTGTTTTGTTTCTAGATGGCTTGAAAACTGCTCAGAGTTCCTAGAAACAACAGGCTAAACAACTTCAAATTCCCAGGGAGCCCCACAACTACTCCACTCCACTCCAGTTCAGCTGTTTCTCTGTGGCCTCATGAGGGCTCTGCCATGATCACACCGCCTACATGGCCTCCCTTCGCAAAAGCTGAGCAGTCCTTTTTAAAATCCTCCTGCAAGACCTGAACAACAGCACATAAGTATAGGGAGCAAAACTCCTGAACCACAGTCTCTTTTGATTACAACTGTTATTTTTTAAAATACACATATGTGAACAAGAACTCAAATGTAACATGCAAAAATGAGCATGCAAAAGGAACATTATTCTCTTAGAAAAAAGCAAATTTTAATCTTTCCCCCAAGCTTCAAAATGGTGTATCTAATAGCGTTTACTTGAGGGCTCCACTTAACATATCCAATATAGACAGTTACTTCTAGTCCCTAAAACCCACTTTTCTGCCAGTCTTCTTTATTCTAGTAAACAGCAACTTGACTATTATTTACCAGGGTTCTCAAATCAAAAACCTAATCTTACTTCTCTCTCATCCTGTAAATCAAATTCAATAGCAATTACTCTCATTTTACCCCCTAAATAAACACTTCTTCAAAGCTATCTGCTTTGCCCTGTCTCCAACACTACCAACTGTGAACAAGGCTACCATCATGCCCTACCTGGACTAGTATAATAGCCTTCCAATAGTCTGTACATATTCACTCTGGCCTCCCAGCAAGCTGTCCTCTATCTATCTATACTATAGATCCAATGAGCTTTCTGAAATTATACAGAATACACCACCCTCTCACTGAAATACTTCATAGCTTCCCTTATCCTATGGAATTTTATTATGGCCTATTAAGAAATCCCATATGGTGTGCCTTCTACCTACCTCTCCAACTTCATCTCACACATAACTTCCTCTAGTTCTCTGTGCTACAGCTATAGGATTTCTTTCAGTTCTTTTATATGCCATATTTTTCCCCACCAGTAGCCCCTTATGCATGACGTTTCCTTTACTTAGAACTCTGATAACTCTTTCTTTACCTCCAAGTCATTGATCAGTCATAACTTCTTCAGGTATCTCCTAGATTAGATAAATCTCCCTAACATAATTCTCATGGCACCATACATACACCTTAGTACTTATCACGTGATTCTTTGATTAATTCTCTTCTCCTGATAAGACCGTAAGCTCCATAAGTTCAGAGGTTCTATGTGATTTCTGTTCCAACATATCCCTCAATGCCTCGCACAACATTTGGCATATAATAAGTGCTCAAAATTATTTAAATATAGACACAAATTCCAAGACCCCATCTGAAGTAATCATGATATAGACAGTCTATGAACCATCTTGAGGTGACAGTCAAAAGAGCTATAAACAGCAATTCTGACTTCAGTTTAAGAACCATACATGCATATTAAATATTAAAATCCATATTAAAATTCATGACATGGTGTTATGGTGACACCCTAAGTGTTATTAATAACATTGTCATGTGATAGTTTTCTATTTTTATTTACTATTCTTATTAACTAAATGCTAGGATCAGTTATTCTTCCACAAGGAAGATATATTTGATAGCAATATGTATATGTAAACAATTTACATATTTTGCAATTTGTATAATTATTTTTAAAAATAAAAATTGAACCCTCTAAATTTTAGCACTCTAGAATAAAGCCCCAGTCACCTTATCCCACTTCAGTTATTTTTATGGCTGCCAAAATTTGTTCATGAAAACCTATACTGTTATGATATTGTGAAGAGCCTTATTTAAAAACATTTTTAAATCAAAATAATCTATAAATTTATTTACATTTGTCCCTCAAAAGGCACTGTTTAAGAGTTTAATGTGTACACCTACCATTTCAGAATAACCATCATCAACTAGAGTGCAAAGAAAGAACTAGTCTAGTCCTTAAGAGAAATTCCAGAGTCCCAGAAATTCAATCAAACCTCCTGTTAGCTGGGTTCCAAGAGGAATCATTTTGTAGCTGGCAAGAAGAAAAAGAGTACTTAACCCAAAAGTTAGGAGACAAAGATTTTAGTTCCAGCTCTACC